GCAATTACCTCTTTTATTTTTTATTCAGTGGCGGAAACGGGCTTCCGTGTTGGAATCATGCAGATAAGTAATGAAAAAAAATTGGGAGTGGGGTGGGGGGTGTTCAGGGTGATGCTGGTTACTGCATGATGATTGAGATTGCGAAATGGTCTTAAGCAATTAACTAAATAAACTGTGAAAAGGTTATGTTTTCTTATACATTATGGCATTATACAAATGTGAGTAGAATCAGCGCTGAAACGTGTTACTCGTGTTTCAGTGTCACCTGATCATTCCAATCATACTAATATGCTGATTTGCTGCTCAATAAACATTTACTCTTTACAACATTTTTGTGGAAATAATGATACCACTCAAACATTTGTGGTAAGATTTTTTTTTTAAAAGAGAGAAATTAATAATGTTATTCGTCATACATTAAAGAGATGAAAAGTGAGTGAAGACATTTAAAATGTTTCAAAAGATTTCTATTTAATAAATGTTATAATAAATGTAATAAATATATTTGATAAATGCAAATAAATGCTGTTCATTGAAATATCTATTTATCAGAGAATCCTGAAAAATGAAATGCATCACCATTTCAAGCAGCACAACTGTTTTCTACATTGATAATAATCAATAATCAGGTACTTTAATAATAACAATTGTATTAATACTTATTATATTATTATCATTATTATTAAATGTTGCTTTTTATTTTTACAGGACAATAGTATATATTATTACAATATAAGATATATCTTTTAATGTGATAAAATATATATTTTTAAATAATAAGTTCTGGGGGCATGGTCAGGTTTTCCTGCTTCTTTGTCTCTAGCTGATCACATGCCTGTATAATATCATTTGTGTTGGTGGTCTTCTGAATGCAATGTAAAGATTAATCATTGCACCATATTAAGGGCCAAGGTATCATGCAGTTGAATTGCAGTCAGCCTATCTATAGAACCAGCGTCTCCTTTAATAGCTCTTCTGAGTAGGTTGACTGACACTGAACTCTACAGAGAGACGCTTTTATTAATTACTTTTATCCATCTTTTCTAGCATGTACTTTATTTTTCTGCAGCCAGTGTCTAAAAATAATTGTTGTATGTACATTTAAGATTAGACAGCTGTATAATAATAAGTTTAGTGCTGAAATCAAACAGGTTTCCGATATTAAACTTTGATTAGCAGTTGATCAGGTTTTTGGATGAATTATTTGACGGTTTAGGTGAATTATAATGATAATGTGAATTATAAATGAATAATAATTGTTATTAATATATTGTATTTCTGTATGTGTGTGTATGTGTATAATTTCAGATTTTCCGGAGAGCTGATAAGGATGGTGAGTGTAATCTGCTTTATACCATGTCATCTTGAATGTGTTTCTCAGACTCTGTTCTGTTCTAAAGATGAAATCATGTTCATGTTTTGAAATTCATGTTTCATTCACTACACTAGTGCTCAAAAGTTTGAGGTTGGTAAGATTTTTTAATGTTTTTGAAAGAAGTCTCTTATGCTCACCAAGGCTGCATTTATTTAATAAATATACAGTAAAATAGTAATATTGTGAAATATTTTTACAATTCAAAATAACTGTTTTCGATTTTAATATATTTATAAAATGTAATTTATTCCTGGAATTCAAAGCTGAATTTTCAGCAGCCATTATACCAGTCTTTAGTGCCACATGATCCTTCAGAAATCATTCTAAAGGCGTCTTTACACAGCCAAGTTAAGGCTGCTCTGTGCCTGAAAATTCTGTGTAAAGACACAATGTCTCATAAAAGCCAGACTAAATTATACTTGCTCTGAGTTGAAGTACTGTATAAAAGTGCAATTGGTATGTAAATCAATTTATGCCACCTCTGAGCAGCATTAAACAGTCTGTGTAAAGATGCCTAAATGCCACTTCAGAAGCACCTGTGCCATGTAAATTTAGCATTATATGCTGATTTGGTGCTCAAGAAATAATTCTTATCATAATCAATGTTGAAAAAAGAACAGCATTTATTTGAAATAGAAATCTTTTGTAACTTTATAAATGTTTTTACTGTTATTTTCATCACATTAATGTGTCTTTGCTACATAAAAGTAATATTTTCTTTCAAAGGAAAAAAAAAATCTTACTGTCCCCAAACTTTTGAATGGTAGTGTACATCATTTCATAAAATATACAGCTATTATAGCTTTACACAACACTGAAGAACTTGACCATCTGTCCTCACACGGTTCTGACAGCTGAAAAGACAGAAAGTGAAGAAACGTTCCAGGAAAGACTATGCAAATGTGCTGCTTTACACATAATCTTTTAAATAATTCCCATTTGCGGGGCTTATTAGAAGTTTAGTTCTTTTTGTTCTCAGATGCCTGTCCAGTATGATTTCTGCATGGTATTAGTGAAATATCATCTGCTAAGAAAATCTATGCATAATGCACCAGCTAGTGATTTGCGTTTGCTGGATGTTCTAAAATGATTTTTCCTATATTGTAATGCAAATTAAATTGCAGCAAAATTTTCACATGTATTTGCTAATTGATTATAGATTAGTCTCATTTTGCAAATTAGACTCTTTATCCATATTCATACCCTGTGTCCGCAGAACAATTATGATTAAGAAGAAAGGCTTCATTACAAATTTTGCAATGCTCAAATTTATGTATGAGAAGATACTTATTACTCTACAGTACATTTCATCCATTTGTACTGTAATGTAGTTTTCTGTATGGTTCTGTCTTGTCCGTCATTATCAGCATAGACCTGGTCTCATCTGGTCTAAATGTTTGGATTGAAATGAAATATACATATATAAAACTTTTTTTTATTATTTCTTTTTAAAAGGAAAACACCACTCTAGTTCTTGTACCTGGGCTTAAAAGAGAGTCGATACAAATAGCAGAAAGCGAAAACCTGCAACAAACCTTGTTAAAAGGAGTAGTGGCTATTTGATGTGTGGAGCTAGCGCTATTTGTGTTATTTTTAAACCACTCCCAGGGGAGCAGCTTGGTGACAGTTTTAATGAGAGAGAGAGAAAGCGAGAGGGTGGGGGAGGAAGAAGAACAAGAGTCGGGACCACAGGAGATAGGTGCCATATTTTGCAACTCTTTGGTTTTCAATCACAAGAAAACAGAGCACAGCAGGTTAATTTGCCTCCAGCGTTTAGAGCTAAACTCCTAGAAGTGAACCATTATTATCCTCTTTCTTTTCGAATAGGGCTGCATGCATAAAAGAGACAGTTCTCTCCAAAAATAATATTTTGTCATCATTTATTCACCCTATAATGTAATTTTAAACCTATACTACTTTATTTTTTCCATGGAACACAAAATAAAAATGTTCTAATTTCTGACAGTTTAATGTGACCACGACTGTCAAGCAACTCCAATATATGATATGATATGATATGATATGATATGATATGATATATGATATGATATGATATGATATGATATCATATCATATCATATCATATCATATCATATCATATAGTACTGGTCAAAAGTTTGGAATAATTAAGATTTTTTAAATGTTTTTCAATATGCTGGCCAAGGCTGCATTTATTTGATTAAAAACACAGTAAAAAAAATTGTACTATTGTGAAATATTATTACAATTTAAAAGAACTGTTTTCTATTTGAATATATTTTAAAATGTAAATGTGCTGATTTTTATTATTAGTATTAATTATTAATGTTAAAAATAGTTGTGTTGCTAAATATTTTTGTGGAAAACATGATACACTAATATTCAAAAGTTAGGAGTAAGATTTAGGGGAAAAAATGAAAATAAATTAATACTTTTTATTCAGTGAGGATTGATCAGAAGTGACAGTAAATATATTTATAATGCTACAAAATATTTCTATCTCAAATAAACTGTTCTCAACATTGATAATAATAAGAACCATAATTCATATTTAAGTACCAATAATAATTTATAATAAATTAGCACAAAATCAGCATATTTGAATGATTTCTGAAGGATCATGCGACACTGAAGGCTGGAGTAATGATGATGAAATTCACCTTTGCCATCACAGGAATACATTTTAAATATATTATTGAAACATTCAAATTGTATATTATTAAAACAATAAAAAAATCTAGTGTAAACAAAAAAAAATATTATTACAAATATTTGTAAAAAAATATATAAATAAAAGAACTTCATACTACTGATGCACTATATTCAATGCCTTCTGAACTTATACAGACAATATGGTACATGAATAATGACATAATTTAAATTTGTAAATGAACTTCCTTTGAAATCATGGTTTATGGATCAATTTACCTTCCAGAGTTAACCATCATATTGAGCACAAACCACACACAGAATGTCATGCCACCCTGCCGCATGTCTCTTACTGCAGAAATGATTGGTTACATCATGCGTGTGGAGCAGGCAGAGAGAATCATTAGTGTCTGTGGTATAGAGAAAATGACTTTTGGCCTTAGAGCTTTTATGCAAGCTTGGTCTGGCAGGCTCAGCCTCCTGCTTTTTGATTACCTGGTCAGTGGCCATAAATCTGCAAGGGATGTTAACATGAGAGCAGACTGGCAGAGACCTGTATGACCCACTGCCTTATCTGCATCTGCAGTTCGCCCTCCTAAATATATCACTCAGTTTAAAGGGAGAGAAAGAGCGGTACAGGTACATGTAATGGAAATTTAATTGGTTCTTTCAACTGTTTTAAATTCTGTACTGTTTCTCTGTGCAGCATTTTTACATCAAAAAGAACTTGCAGGGGCAAAGAGAGCAAAAGGGCTACAGATGGGAAAAAAGGTTACTAAAATGATACATTTAGGAGCCAAATGACTTTTTCGTTGACAAATTACAGAACCCTTTGGTGCAGTAATGCATGGTTTATACAGTATATAGGCTATGGCTATTTAAGTACAATGAAAAAAAATTAGTATAGAAATAATTTTCATTCACAAATTGCTAGTAAATTTCACAAACAATTACAAAGAAACGTGTTTTTTTTTTAGTTATATGTAATTCAGGGATTCCTAGACTTTTTATCAGCTGAAACCCTTGGATATAAAATATTTACTAGAAGTAGCCCAGTAATTTAAGGTTAAAATTTTACTAATTTAATGACACATTTACATGTCCACAGTTCTCTGATGTTAGTTAATTGTCATATGACATGCAGGTAAACACATAAATTAATCTTTTTCATAAGTGTTTTATCTTTTATCTTACATTTTTATGATTTATGATTTTTTTTTATTTAATACTCAAGAGTTTTTAGCTTTAGACTCTGATTTTATCCATTCAGAAGACATCAAACATGTTTGATATTTTGAGTCAATTTTAGAATAAATATTGTTTTCATTTGTCACATATCTTCTAGCAACAAAGCAAATGTTCGAGTTTGTTGTGTTTGGAACAACTTGAAAGTCTGGTAGTGTGAGTTCCTCAGTTGTTTAGTGTATGAGGCCAAGTTTTTTCTGCAACTATTTATAAAGTCAGAAAGTGTATGATGCCTAGTGTTTTAAAATCTGTTTAGATTGTAAAAGTCGTGCAGTGTATTACACCCTTTAGTCTGTTTCAAACTGACTCAAGAGCTAATGAGTTTGAGATTGTGAATCCTTTTCACTGACTCTTTAAAGGGGTCATATGATGTTGCTAAAAATAACATTATTTTGTGTATTTGGTGTAATGAAATGTGTTTATGCGGTTTAAAGTT